GCAGCCCCCATACAACTGATTGTTCAGATATGAGGTCTTTTATCATAACTCCTCCATTTATGCAGCTAGGAACATGAAATTCGCACCTTTTTCATCATTATTAACAGAATACTTGCAGTCGGAAAATAACAAGATTGCGGTCACTACAACATATATCTTCCATACAATCTGATTGTTCAGATATGGGATTTTACTGTAAAACTCCTTTATTTGAACAGCTAAAACCGATAAATTTCGTAAGATATTTTATAAATAATAATACAAAGTCTACTGAGAAAATCGTCAAAATCTATGCTGTATAAGCTTTATCTCCTATAACACTGATTGTTAAGATACCAGTTTTTGCCATATATCTCCTTTATGTACGAAACTAAATCCAATAAATTGTGTTACCGGTTTACATACCGATCACATAGCAATGAAAATCACTTAGATTGGTGCCATATAAAGTATATCTTCCATACCTCTGATTGTTTAGATGCGATTTTTTATATAAGTATGTAACTCCTCTATCGATGTATGCAGATGTATTCAAAAGCAGTAATCTGTCAAAGTAAAATTTGCAGATGTTCATGAAAGGTATGAAGCCTTCGGCATAGCCGAAGACAGCGCTGCTCTTACTTGTTATTTCACAGTATCAGTTTGACTAATGGTTGATTGCAGTTAACTAATGTACATCCATTAGTTAACCAATCGCTAAAAACAGCTTTTTTTCTAGTAATTAACTAATGACTGGGAAAATGGCCCTTTGTAATGTAGTTTGACTATTGAATTAAAGACTTATTGTCAATTAAATGTAATGGTTTGTATTGCATGCACACGTTTTGCATTTTTAATCTCATAAATTGTTTATAATGACTTTTGCTAAAATTTCAAAATCAAAAGTTATCAAAACAAATTTTAAGGGACTGGTACATATTATTTTCTACTTTTTAGTCCATTTATAGAAGCGTTGTATATTAAAAAGTTTTTTTTTTATTCTATTTATCATGCTTTTGGTTGTCTCTTTTCGGGATATGCCCATATGTATGTAATCAACACGCAGAAAAAGAATCCCCGTTAACTAAATTTGCGATACCTAAAACAATGGCATTAGCACTGCATTGAAAACTTTTTGGCATTATGCGAGGCGAGAATACATACTTCTTTGGAAGAGGTGGGTGCTTTTCATTTGCAGATGTGCATTGTGCAATTTTCCTATGTCTATAAAAGGCGTTTTGGTGCGGAAAGTTTTTTTTTATTATTTAACGCATAATGCGAAAACTCTGAACGACCTTTAACTTGTTTTGTGCAGCATTTGTTTTTATGCATAAATTGAATATGCACAACTGTCAGATAAACCGATTTTATTGCAAATAAATCACACTCTTAAATATTCCCTTATTTCGGATAGCAATTTCCAGCGACTTTGTGAATTAAAAAATTGTATTTGTGATTTTCCATAAACCAACTGGAAGACGAAGTGTCCTATGTACACAATCAATAGCATAGCCAATATGGAAACAAGAAGAAAACTGGCCTACACGACATCCTGGTAAATGCCCCATAGGGACAGAAAAAGCAATCATTCAATAAGTCATTGAAAGTAACTACTTGCGGTTAGGGATGCAAATTTTGAGCAGTAACATCGATACATCGATGTTTCGATGCATCGGAGAAAAGAACATCGAGGCTAAAATACATCGCTAGAGAAACATCGATTTCCGATGTTTTGCAATTTGTTAATTTCTAGTTAAATATAAGCAATATTGAATACTTTAATAATTATGCATGTATTTTCCTGTATTTTATTATCCTTTCTATACCCTTTCTATTATTAGAATCAAAATGCATACCATCGTAAGGTCGTTCGGGCCTAAATATCCTAGGCCTGATCTTGTTAAAATTCTAAGGGGTGTTTGGTTCCTTTTTTAATGGCTAGGTTATTAGCATTCAGAATGAATCCAACAATTTTTTTGTTGAGCTTGGGGCCGTTTTTTATGAAAAATGTTGTGGAATGGCAACAATAATTTACAAAGTTAAGAAGTTATAGCTGCTATTTGGGAGATCACCACATCTACTAATCAGACTTCTTCAAGCGCGGTTACTGAGGAGATGTGGTGGTCTCCGAAATAGCAGCTATAACTTCTACCTTTTGGAAATTATTGTTGATTTTCTATAACATTTTTCATAAGAAACGGCCTCAAGCCCAATAAAATTGTTGAATATAATTGTCATAAGGCCATAAATAGCAAAAAAAATCTAAATAGATAACAAATTTAAGCTCAGTCAAACATACCGAAAGAAAGTCGGAGAGTATCCTTAAAGTCGATGTTTAAAACATCGGTAAAACTTCCATCGATGTATCGTTAATTTCGCGATGTTAGTAAATTGTAAACATCGATGGCAAACATCGAAAATTGAACCCATATTATCGATGTTTCTAAAACAAGTTTTACTCCTCGAATGACGTCCACCAGAAACTAAGGATAAGAAAAATCTCAGTCAGGGCCTCTGCGATCATGTGGCAAAGAGGCGCTTTCAAAGTTCTACACTTCCTTAGTAATAGATTGGCGCTTACACATATCGTCGTTTAAAGTACAAAACCGCGTAA